TGTAAAGTTAGACTTCGAACTCAAGCTGAAAGGCAGGCTACTCAAAGACAGCAAAAAACTGTTGAACAGCACAAAGCCAGAGTTCAGTCAGAATCATCAGAGCAAGCTGGATACAGACAACAAGAAACTTCTAAACAACATCAATCCAGACTTCAAGCACAAAAATTAAGACAAATAACTTACAGAGAGCAAGAAACGGAGGATCAACATGATGTACGACTTCAGGCTCAAAGAACAAGACAAGCTCAAACATGATCTAATTTCAAATAAAGCTTTGTTTGATTAAATGCTTTTTTATTTCTCGCATCACAGCTTTTGTCTACTTACTGAATAATTTGCTGAAAAAAATATTGACCTATACATTTCAAATCTAAATTTTTCATTGTGCAATGCCGGGTAACTCAGCTAGTACATATATATATATATATGCAGGAAGGCACTGTATTCTGCAATATAGGTCCAGTATAACTCTTAAACTAAACATTCTTGTATATCCAACAAGCCCACAACCAAATGGCTAGTCTTTTTTCAATGAAAGAGGGGCTCTCAATGAGAAATAGTACATATTCTTCTCAAAATCCACAAGTGATTGAAATATAGTGACCTGTGGAAGCTGAAACCCCTCAGGAGATGAAACATCCAAAAGATATAGAGAAAAAAATGAATGTGTGGAAAGTCCATGTATCATCCTGGAGATGTAAGGGAATGAAAAAAAGGTGAGGAATCATATGCAAAGAAAGATGAAATAGTCTGCGAACATTCATATACCACAACAAACATGTCAATGGAGGAATTGATGGACCTAACCCATAAGGGAAGAAGTCCATAGAAAAGAGGGTTCCAGGGAAGGGACAGATGAAGGTGGGGACCTAAAAAGAGATAGATGTGTCATAAGGCACACAGAACAACCCAACAGGACACAGAAGAAGAGCCCCTGGTGCAAATGGTCCAATAGAGAAGAGATGGAAGGGAGATAGGAGAGAAGTATGGTGTATCTTCCAAGTGGTCAAAGTCTGAGGAAGAAAAGATAGGTCTAGGAAAAGGAAAAGTGCAGTGTAAGAGGGTCAGAGAAGCATCTATAGGTAAGATATCAGAAAAGCGGTAATCATAGGGGAGAAGTAGGAGGAAATAAGTTAAGAGATAAAGATATTACAAAAGTCAGGAAGTCAATGGTTTGAATGGGACATGAGAAAAATGTGACAAAAATAATATTATGTTAATGGAAAGCCGAGCCCGATGGGCAACATATCAGGTAGAATTCAGGCATGAGAGTGGAGGGAAGATAACCCTCTATGAGGAAGAAAAGTATGAGAGTGTGAAGCAAGAGAGAGACGATAATGAGAAGAGGAAAGGGGAGACAAAATATCAAGCAAACCAAGGTGAAAGTGGCCAAATAAGTGCCAGCAATAGGAGACCAATAAGAGAGTAGGTAGAGAGAAAGTAGTAAGAATAGGCCTGGCTAAGAAAATTGACTATCAGAGTCAAAGGATAAGTAATACAGGGTCATAAGAGAGGAAGCCCAGAGATAAACAGGGTGGTAAAAGCATCCAAAAGCGGTGTGTCTTACCAAGAGTAAACCCCACGGAAGACATTGGGTTATAGTGGCTACTCCACTGAGAGAATATAAACTGGCCGAGAAAGGCAGTCCATCACCAAGATTGAAGCCCCTGGCAAATGATGTGAGCAGGCTCAGAATTGTATGCCCAAAAACAAAAGAAAATTTAACGGTTTTATACTATTCTAAGTTTGTAAAACACAAAAGCTATAAACTTTTTTTAATACTGGGTATTTGAATATCATAATTCCCACAAAAAGTTAGTAATTCCGTACTTGTTCATTCTTGTAAGTGTTTGATCACAGGACTGTTCTGCAGTTCTTTTATTTCCTGACAGGTCACGACCCCCACTGCCTGTGTAGAAGAATTCCTCTCCATTATCCTAAAATTAAAAAAAAAACAAAAAAAACTAATATGAATAAGTTGATTTTTTAATTGAATAACTGTCTACAGTAGAAGTGTGCCAATATTTTCTTAACAACAAAGATGTTTATGAAAAGATAAGAAATGTACCAAAGACAAAAGACAGTTTCAAGTAGACCCATATGGTTCATAGAACAAATCCTAACATTTTCCGACTTGAAAAATAAAATAGCTAATAATTCATGTGTTAAATAAGTTTAACAGAAATGTATTATATGGTATCAATCTTGTACAGGTGATAAATAATCTTTGGTGCTTTAAGAAGATAGGCTTGATAATCCATGGTACAAGACTTTTTTTGTTAAACTAAAGTAAAAAAGTTTCTTCACAACCTTTGTAATATATATATATATGATGTTCAACAAACAAAATTACTGCATATTTCCTTCACTGACCAAAATTAGCTAATTTAATACCTAGAATCTGTGCTACAACTAGATGCTCACTACTTTGCCAATTACAATTAGTATCACAAACTAGCCAGTAGAAAAGCCTGCTATTCACCACACCAGCAATGGGAATCTATAAAACTACAAGGAATCATGGCCAAGTTTATTTTCCATTCCATTTGTCTTTCTTCACGCTCCTTAATGTTTCATTATAATCTGTATTTGTACATTCTGTGAGAAAATAAATAGCACAGATTGCATCACAATGAAATTTTTATTTAACCCAGGAAAGTACCACTTTTAGGATGTTAAAAAATGATCTCAGGATAGTAAATATCATAAATATTACATCTCCACTAGCATTTTATTTACATCTTCAATCTGCAAATTGACAGCCTTTTGATACTGTCAGCACCATTGGCTTATAATTTTGGCATGTTTCTTTCTTTTTGGCATTGAGAATACCCTATTTAAATTGTTGCATCTCCCTGACCTGAAAAATGGTACAAATGTAGTTGCTCACTTATAAAGTTATGAGTACTACATATTTGTCACAGTGGAAAATTTAAAATGTTTGAAAAAAAAAATAATTTAGACCACAAAATTATATACAATTCAATTACTATCAATAAATGTATGCAGTGACTATACTTACAGCAGTCATAATGTCATTCTAATGGCTATGGTTACTACATTACCACTATGCATGCACAAGGTATTTTTGGAATTGATATTTACAAGTCTCCATTGCCACCAGGTACTGTCATAAAAATAGCTACTGTTGCTTAGGTTATCGCATTTTGAGCCATAGAGTAGGCCTACTAACTATTGCACTTACAGATCCATAGATAATTCTACACTTTGAAATGCACTAAAAATTTCTTATCTCAAACAAAGCATAATCAAAATTATCTGAAAAGATAATTCTATCATTCAGAATTTTCTCCTTACTGCATCATCTTCATAGCCTCCAGCCAGAACAATAGAATACGATCCTTCATTTTCCCTTCCATGGATGCCAGCAACATGTGGCCGATGGACTCCAGCTTCTGAGCCCTAGATGTTAGTAAACATTCAGTTTACAACATTCTTTATATATATATATATATATATACATACACATACACACACACACACACATATATATATATATATATATATATATATATATTAATAACGTGTCAAAGATAATAATAAAAGAAATTTCTCCAAATAGATTTTCATATAAAATTTTTTAAGCTGCTCAATAACAAGCAACACAAACATCTAAAGGACCTCCAAGACTGAATGACTTGTAAAACTTGTGGTGATTGAATGTATAGATAAGCAAAATAATAATGGAAGTAACAAATATGTTAATTTTCATATTCAAACTCTTTTTTTTTTTATCATACTTGGTTTATTATTTGTTTCAAACCCATATTTATGAGTAACTTCTGATATTAGATGTATATTGAAAGAAATGTGTAGAAAATATTTACATGCAAAATGTCTGTTTTAGGAATGGCATTAAGTAAGAATGGGACAAACATCCAATCTGACTGGATGTTTTACACAGGCATGATACTACTTGCACATGAATCATACATAATAGATATTGCCTCATCTAATGATTTCTACTAGCCTCTAAACATAGAAACATTTTCCTGCAACTAAAGTGCGAGCCTTGTTAGTTGTAATAGCTGAAATATGGATAGTCATTAAGTAGTTTAGATATCACACCCACCTGTTGTGTTGCCACTGTATTCCACAGTAGCAGTAACAATGGCAAGTTCAAACCAAATAATAGTCTCAGCAGAGGAGTAGGGTGTAAAACACTATCTCATGCCACCATGTGCCATACTACCTTAAAGGGCCAGCAGTGGCTGCTTACATATGCATAACTTTACATCCTTATAAAGTTTTTAAAATACAATGAAGTAACTGCAGTAGATCCTTGTGAAGCAACTTGAAATTTTCTAGGAAATTTCATGAATTGCTTCAAGAGTTTTTAAGTGTTTAAAAGTATTTAGGAGAAAACTTAAAGGTTTTTTAATGAAGTAATTTGAAGATTTCACCAACTGTTTCAAGAGCTTTGAGTATTTAAAAGTACTTAGAGTAAAAGTTTAAGGGTTTGAACGAGGTCGTTGAAAAATTTCATCAATTGTTTCAATAGCTGTGGATATTTAGAAATACTTAGAATAAAAGCTTAAGAGTTTCAATACAAGCAAGCAAGTAAAGATAGATAGAAAAAGAAAAAGGGAGGCGACAATGGGACGCCTGTGTTATGAAATAAGCCTTGAGAAATTAATAAACAAGAACTTGGTTATACAAGAGGCAACATTCAGAAGTAAGCAGCAAAACACGTGCATTACTTAAAATAAGCTTGAGAGGCGAGCCTGGGAATCAGTGACCCAGGGTCAGTAGCAGAGTTAGTAAGAACTATTGCATCACAAACAGGATGTGAACGCCAATACATGTGATAGTTGGATGAAGTGTTGGCCTCGTTCTCTTAGCACTATGGAAGCTACAGAAAAGTTCAGATTTAGTGAATCATCTCGGCACTTTGAAGCAGTATTAGTTACAGTACATGGGTGTAGCAGCACAAGTGAATAGGCGGCCGGCTAACACCATTTATCTATGACCAATAACTTGAGAGTTTTGGTTTAGGTTCTGGATTAGCCCGGG